TTGGAACTCGGCCTCTGGGAACGAACGCTGCGGTGATTCGGTGGGATAAAGGCGGTGTTCTCCTTCGAGGGGCCGGTGCCTCGCTGCTGCCCGGCGAGAGGCAGCGCCGGGCTCTGCTGTCTTCTTCCAGAAGCTGGGAGGAATTTGTGGTAGCAACAGCTACGTCTTCTATATATTCTGGGAAAGTACTCAACAGCATATGTAGGAGCTATATATGCTCCTGTATGGCATATAGGAGCTATCTAGGATTCCGCATTTTTAGGAGAATTAGGGAGCTGCTGGAGAGAGTCCAGCCACTAAGGTGATGAAGGGCCTGGAGCATCTCTCCTATGGGGAAAGGCTGAGAGAGCCGGGACTGTCCAGCCAGGAGAAGAGAAGGCTCAGAGAGACCTCATCACTGTATATAAATACCTGAAGGGAGCTATAGAGCCAGGCTCCATCACAGGGCCCAGACAGGACCAGTGACAATGGGCGCACACTGAAGCACAGGAGGTTCCCTCTGAACATCAGGAAACACTCTATCACCGTGAGGGTGACCGAGCCCTGGTACAGGTCGCCCAGGGCGGTTGTGGAGTCTCCTTCCTTGGAGATACTCAAAAGCCATCTGGACGTGGTCCTGGGCAGCTGGCTTTAGGTGGCCCTGCTGGAGCAGGGTGGTTGGACCAGATCATCTCAAGAAGTCACTTCCAGCCTCAGTGGGTCTGTGACTCTGAAATACTGCCACTGTCATCCAAGTAGTAATACTGTGTTTGCAAACAGCATTCATTCTAGATCCTGCAAGGTGCTGAAATTCACCTGTTGGGCTTTGCAGTGTCCTCTCTGAAACCACCGGTTAATTGCTTTTCAACTGGCATTGTTAGAGAAATTAGAGCAAACTCGTTCTCTCCATAAAGTACCTATCAATGAAGAATAAAGATAATTTAACCTGAAATTAAAGCAGGTAATATTACTGTGGGCAACTTTACCAATATTAGAATTTAAAATATTATTTGATTGTTTTATACCTATGTAAGACCCTGTATATTACCTGTAACAAATAAATGTAAATTTACAAGGTGATCACAGCAATAAAAAGCACAAGAAAGTGTTCGGTGGTAGCGTATTTTTTGCTTAAATGTTTTTTCATTAAATGAAAATAAAGTTGCAACCCTTAATATGTGATCTGGGGCCATTTCTAGGATTTGCATGGGCAAACAGAACAGATTCTGAAGGGGCAGAAATACCCAAACATGATCTTGATAGGCAAACTTCCAAAAGACTTGTTAGATATGAATAACTCAGGAGTGCAGCATGGAACTGAAAAACAAAACTTCATGGCTTCAACAGAACTTCGTACCTTCACGAAACTTGAAAATTTAAATTTTTTGGTTTGCTTAATGCTCACATGGGCAAGTATTAAATGCAATACATGCATCTTGCCGTGCATGACAAACTGGTGTTCCCCACTCTAACACTACCTCTCTTTCCTCCTTCCCCCATTGCTGGTTCTCAGTCTGCCACAGATCCACCTGACGCCACTGGCTTCTTGGGCAGGGCGAGGCAGAGGATGGTGGTGAGGCAGGGAGGCAGCTCTGACGCAGGCCCTGCTACCTGCCTAGCCATGCCGCACTTGCTAGTGTCGACCCACAACTCCAGATTTTTAGCTGGCCTCCGAGACCAGAGAACAAACGGTGCCTTTCAGCCGCCTGGTCAGACAGCAGCGCCGCATCTTCAGTGTCCAGGCACCAACAGTGTGCTTGCCTCTCGCCTGTGTCAGCAGTGCTAATTTAGCTGCAGTTAGTACACTTAAAGTGCTAGCTAACCCTTCGGCCGCACGAACGGTATGCGTTACCTTGCAGTCACCCATTCAGCCAAACAGTTTGCTTTGTGACGCACAAGAGGCTTGCCGGCAGCGCCTTGTGCAGGCCTGTGTTATGCAGCAATAAAAAAAATCTACTCCTGAGCACGGACTTTGATTGCAGCTGTTAATTGCCAGGCATCACAGAAGCTACAGGCAGAAACTGTGCCACAGTACAGATACTGGCCATCCCTATATTTAGGCCTTCAAGCCAATTCCTTTGATTTATCTGATAAATAAAAACTTTACTTATTTGTGATATAAACCCGTTAAATTTATTTTTTCTTTTCAAGCTCATCAAACCATGGACTACAGACAACAGAAAGGGTATTTCAAGTCAAAGGAAAGAAGCCTTTGTGTGTGCAGGTATGCCACTGAAGTAAGCCAGACACCTCTATACTCAATATCCCAGTCTCTTCCCATGTCATTTTCCTATACACTGTTTTATAAGAAACTGCGACTAGACCTGAACTTACCTAATCATAAGGTACCCTATTTTGTTGATTTTGTAGCACATGTGTATACCTATTTGGTGGTACATTCAACCCATTTTCAGTTCTTATGTAAAGTTTAGTTGCTGTGTCATTAGATATCTAAGCAAAGGCAAGTTGTGCATTTCAGTGGTTTCCTGATCTAGTTAGCGGTGTCCCTGCTCACTGCAGGGGGGTTGGACTAGATGACCTCTAGGGGTCCCTTCCAACCCAAAACATTCTATGATTCTATGATTGATTCCTATTTCTAAGAAAATTCTGAAAGTTTAGAGAAGATTTCTGAAATGATTTATGTGAAGTTTTACATGTCATTGATAACTCAGAAGTAGTAAGGTGCCAGTTACTTTTAACATTACAATTTTTTTTTTTTTTTTTTTTTTTTTTTTTGTAAATTAAGAATTGTTTGTGGAACTGTAGACTTGTTCCCCGGGGAATACTTATTACTACTGTTACTGTCCTATGGTGAAAGAAGACATTTCCCAATATTGTGGAGGGGCTGTGAATCTGTTTCGTCTGTAGGTGGCAGCAGTGGGTGCCTTTGGAGAACGAAGTGCAAGTTCCTCTGCTATCGCCTTCAGTTCCCGCACGAGCCCGTCGGTTTAAAAAGTCTATTGTTTCTCTCATAATACAGGGGTTAATAGGCACGTACTGAAGGTCTTGCTATTATACTCTCTAATGCGGTACAAGCAAATATGAGTGTATAGCCTCCAGTTCTTTTGGTTCACTGACTGTTTTATGTTAAGACAAAATTTTGAGGGGAAAAAAATATTCTAAAATATTCTAAAGCAGGGAATGTTAGATTAGCAGTAAAAAAATAAAAAAGAAAAGCCGAGTTTCAATAAACCTAAAGTGATATTGCAGGTGATATACAATGTGATATTTGATGATGGATTCATTTCTGAAAATCCCACAAGGTCACTGCATTTTTAGCACTCCAGAAACCTTTGAGTATTAGCACTTGGCTTTCTTCCCCATTTTAAGCATAAATGTTGAGGATAAAGGCGTCTCTACTGTGGCTGTGTAATAGCCTAATAGATCTAAGCACAAGCATGTAATTCTGCAATAATTAGACAGAGTCAATGGAATAGTACGTAGACAATTTCTTGAGATACTTATCTTCATAGACATTGGTACGTGAAAGTCTAGAGGGGATTTTTGTTTGGTAGGTTTTCACGTTTTTTTAATAAAATTCCAGCTGCTATTGATAAAACATTTTATGTAAGATATGCATATATTTCTTGGTACTTGCAGATTTTTTTCTTTCAGTTTCATTATGTTTTTATGCTTGTTACTGGTACAGAGATAAGTAAAGAGACCTTAAACCAAAAAGAAGTGAAGCAGATTTCACAGAGGGAATGTAGGCCACAGGATTCCTACAGTAAGAGGCAGCATTTTGTAGAAAATGTAGCAAGCCAGGTCAGCTGGTTTCTAGGAGATGATTAGGGGGGATGATGAAGGGACTGGGGCATCTCTCCTATGAGCAGAGGCTGAGAGAGCTGGGACTGTCCAGCCAGGAGAAGAGAAGGCTCAGGGAGATCTCATTGATGCAGATAAATAGCTGAAGGGAGGGTGCAAAGAGGATGGAGCCAGGGTCTTTCCAGGGTGCCCAGTGACAGGACCAGCGGCAGTGGGCACAAACTGAGACAGAGAAGGTTCCCTCTGAACATCAGGAAACACTTTTTCCCTATGAGGGTGACTGAGCAGTGGCACAGGTTGCCCAGGGAGGTTGTGGAGTCTCCATCCTTGGAGATATTCAAAAGCCATCTGGTCATGGTCCTGGGCAGCCAGCTCTAGGTGGCCCTGCTGGAGCAGGGTGATTGGACCAGATGCCCTCCAGCAGTCCCTTCCTGCCTCAGGCATTCTGTGACTTTGTGAGATTCTCCTAAAAATCTGTATGTTAATGCTGCTCAGAACATAAACACTCCATGTGAGTTCAACTTTTGGTTTCACTGGAC